ATATATGTATTAAAGTTCTGGTTATATTCTAAATTTCCTTCATTTGTTCTTCAAAAATCTAGTAATCTTTCTAATATATTTTTAAATCTATTTAAAACTTCTTATGTAATAACGTTTATATTAAATATATGAATGTCATCTTCTAGAACAGTTACTTCTTTCTGACATGTTGTTAAATAATTGGAAATTTTTGATTAAAATGCTATTCTTAAAGTTGCATGTGAACTGTTTCTAGTGGTATTGTATATATTATCAAAAGAAAATATTTTTTGCTTGAAGTTGATATTATCTATGATCACAAGATTCCAAATATTTAATTCTTTGAACAGCCTTTGTATAAGAATGGCATTATTAACTCTATCATTTTCTTGATTTTGCTCATGACATTCACAATGTTTAATTATGTTCCATAAGGTAAGAAGATGATGAAACGATGATAATAATTTGGGTTTATATACCAAACTGCTTAACACATTAGTCAACCAAATATCACATGAAAGAAAGGTTATATCAATAAGAACAGAAACCAAAAATGTAAATATTTTCATAATTATACATTCAGACAAATTTTTTAAGATTTGTCCTCATTGTTTTCTTTTTCTATTACTAATAACAAGTTTTTGTTTAAAGATTTCCATTAAAATTTCCTAAAAGAACTTGGTAATAAAATCTGAAAATGCATGATAATATTCAAAAATTGATTCTGATGAGCTTAAAAAAATTTTTTTCTCATTTATTACTTCATGTGATTTTCAGAGTTTAATTTCAAATTTTTATCTCAAAATTTTATAGTCAATTATTTTCGTATCATCATTTTGAATTTTATTTTTGAGAAATATATCAAGAAAAAGATTTTATATAATGAAAAGGCTAGGAGATTTATCGATTCTGTATTAATAATAGATGATGTAATTTTAGTTAAAGGTGTAGAAAAAAAAGTAAGAATAGTTTTAACAATAGATTTTAAAATTTCATTTTTTTTTTTGATTTTTTGCTTGTATGAAAAATCTGAATAAGCTAATTTGCAATAAATTTGATTCTTTTTGTAACATCTTGTTCGTGTAATTTATCTTGAATACAGATTAATTTTTTATCTCAACCTGTATGTTTATAAATATACCTGCCTAATTGTTCATAACAAATGCAATAGATGCATCTTAGTTTTTTATCTTTAAAGAGCAATTTAATATGAAAGATTTTCTCAATGTATTACAATATACTAACCTGTTACAAGATACTTAAATGTTTTGTCCATTAATCAATTAGGAATAGTTACTACATCTTTTCCCTCAACTAAAAAAAGTTACATATTTCTTATATCCTATATACCTTTGATGTTTAATTAATGTATCTATAACCGTAATTTCTTTTGATATATTTTTTTATTTTTAGGATTATGAATTTGGTTTTGATCATATAAAAAATGTGAATCATAAACTCCTAATTTTAAATAATTATTATTGACGTGTTGAATTGCATTACAGCTTATTTGCTAAGTTTCATATAAATTTCATATTCTTCTAAGTTTATAAGTTCTATTGCAATGTTTAATTGTATCTTGAATATTATTAATGATTATATAAGATGTTACAGAAAGTTATATCTCTTTTATCTGTATTAATTAAATTATTTTTTTCTTTACACTCATTATCAGAGGTTGTTCATTATTCTTATTATTATTTTATTCTAATTCTATTTTAATATCGCTATCAAATTTGCCTATATATGATTCCATTTCATTATATTCATCTTTGTGAGCTAATATTTCATTTAACATATTGCTAAACCTAAAGGTAAATTGGTCATCCTTAGTAATAGTTCAAATATTTTGACTTCACTGTCCTTTTTAATATTTTTCAAATCAAATTCTTATAACAGTATAGAATTATTATCAACTCTAAGGTTCAGCATTGTTAAAAATATTTAACTTTGCTTGGTTTAATAAAATAAATTAAACTTTATGTCAAAGTAGTACCAAAAGAATTAAATTTTTTTTTACTTTAATTTATTTACTATTTAAATAAACAAATAATGGATAAGAAAAAGATTAAACTGAATAAACAAGAGTTTATGAAAACAAATATTTTTTAAAAAGTTCTTATGAATATGTAAATAAGTGTTTACATTATATAAATATGTTTTTTTTTGTAAAAATTTAAAAGTTTTATTTATTTACTATATAAATAAATAAATAATAGGTAACTTTCCTTAGACAGATTGAACTGAATAAACTTGAGTTATGAATTTTTAAACTTTATAAAAATATTTTTAAGATCTAGACAAATATGTAAATAATTGTTTAATAATATGTTATATTATGTAAATGTAGTGTTACCTTTGACTTAAAATTTTTGATTTTAGCCAAATTTGGGCTGGCACTATAAATTTGGTCAGAGTTAAGAAAATTTTAACCAGAATTATAATTTAAAAAATTGTTGATTCTAATCATTGAGTTAATGCTAGCCAATTTTAAATTTTATATATTCACTATATACCTAAGAATAGCGTTATATTAATAATTTGTATTATGATATCATAATACAAAAAAACTTACTAATGATTAGTGTGACATTTTTACTGACTGTTATAGAGTTATATGAAAATTTTTATCAAAGAGGAACAGCTTATTAAGACTTCTATACAAGACTTTCTAAAGCTATGCCAGTATTTAGTGTACTATATATTATTGTTTTTTTTCAAATAACTGTTGATTAAAATTTCTGTATAATACTTTAGAAAGTTTAGATGAGAGAAATGGTGATATCTCTAACAACTGAATGGAAAACTAAGTTAAATAAAAGTGGAGATAGATAGTGCAATGATCTCAGTAAGCATAATGATAGAGGCATAGTATATAATAAAAAAGGACATATTCAGGTTATTTAGTCATAGTTATATTAGATTATTTAATTACATAATCACAAATAATAAATAAGAAACAGAAAAAGAAATCAGATTTCAAAGGTAAGAAACATAATAAGAAAAATAGATAGGTATAAAAAATCACCATAATTAGGTTATTTAATTAGATTATTTAATTATAATTAGATTATTAATTTTAGATTATTTAGTTATATTTAGATCATTAGTTGTATCTAGATTATTTTATTACTAAATAATCTAATTTAAGCTGTTTATAACTAAATAATATAATTATATCATTTAATCATAAATAGCTAATAAATTTAGTAGCGAGTAAGTTATTTTTTATTGATTATTAATATTTAATTATACTTATTATTATAATTTAAAGAGGCTTAAAATTATACTTTTTGTAAGTTAGTATAATCAGATCACTGATTCAGTTGTATAATTTTATTATTCAATAATCATTAACTCAAAATTTAATCAAAATTTGATCAATTATAATTGAACATACTTATTAATTATCTTGATAATGTGAAAAATAATAATAGGTTCTATATATTAATATTAATAATTTATGATTTCTTTAGAGAGTATTTAGAAGGATCAGTAAAAAAAGTTTAAAGATAATAGTTATAATCTAGTTGTGATTTTAAGTGATTTGACTAGTTTATATCAACTTCTTGATATAGTAATTAATAAATTATTTAAAAATAACCTAAAAAAATATAGCATTTGTGAATGACTAGTAGTGATATTGGTCAAATTATCAGAGGTAATCTTTATTATATTATATTTAGTGATATGTATAGATAGATAAAATGACTATAAGAGTAAGTTTCAAATAAGATAATTATTAATTTTTTTAAAATTATTATATATCAGATACGTTAGATAATTTAGATCTTAATAATAATGATAATTTGAAAAATTCTGATAAAAAAAAATAAAGATGATGATAATGCTATTAATAATAATATTGAATAGTTAATATTTCTTTTATTTGTAATTTTTTTTCTTTTATAAATTTTAATAAAATTTTTATGAAATACTTACTTTTAAAATATATATAAATGTGAGAATACTTATTTTTAGAGATGCTTATTTTTGAAAATATATGGTTATTTATTATAAAATTTAAAAATTAAATAAATTTTTTTTTATTAATAATTTATTTTATGATAATAAATTTAACTAATCATTTAGAAAGCCATTCTGATTAGACAAACTGTTACAATTAACCCTCTCTAAATGCATCCCCTCAGGACTATAATGAAAATTTTAAAAAATGTGCATTTAAAGAGGGTGTGCATTTAAAGAGAAAATTTTTATATGAATTTATATGCTTGGGACTGAATGAGAACATGCATTTAGAGAAGATGCATTTAGAAAGGGTTGACTACATCATTTTATAAAATGATCTGCAAAATTAGCCAATCATAAAGAAAGCCTATTATGCTGTAATTTTAATAGAAGAAAGATTCTCTTAGGTTTTAGAGAGTGTTATTTAGTTGGATTTTATGTAAATATAAAAAATCAACTTTTTAAATAAAAAAGGAATCTTAAATTATAAAAATTTTATGGTGACAAGCTCTTGATAAATGTTTTGAAATTTAAATACAATTTGACAAAAAATATGTAGAAGTTTAAGTACAATTATTAATTAATAAGGAATAGTAGTGGCGAATATATTTTATTAATTTAAAATTAATATATTATAGGAGAGAATAACATAAAGTTCTTTCTGCTTTGAATTATTATATTTTTAATTAATAAAAGAAAATAAAATTCAATACAACATATTTTTCATATTAAAATTGTTTATAATACTTGTTAAAACTATCGACTGAGAAGTAAACGACGAACGATTTGTGTGAGACATAAATTCAAAAAAAGTTAGCAATGTCGCACAGTTGTATTATACGCAAAAGTCCAAAAAATGGTCTGATCAAATGATCGACATGTCTGTATATCTGAACTAAGTCGTTAAATGATCCAATTTCCATTGGAGGAAACTTTTCGATTTTCTAACTATAAGAAAGATAATTCAAAATTCATTAAAGCACATTTAACGTCCGCAATATTAAAAAAATAAGTAAATGCATTATGTTATGTAGAAAAACAAATCGTTAAGAATGTCATCATATGAAATCGTATGGAAACAAGTCTTGGCAAATAAAATGGGCAAAAAGGTGAAGTTTTCCTTTCCAAAAACATTTTCCCAGCACTTCGTATTTGTGCTTGCTTATTTAATGTCTCACGTCCCAGAACAAGATAACCGGGAGTCTTTTTTTGTGAATGTTCTATTACTTTGCCAAGCTATTTATATACTTATGGTTTACCCTTATAGAGCCTACTTTTCACGACCTTTAAAAAGCTACACAAAAAAAGCGGAAGAATATCAAGCTTGTTTAATTACTATTATATATGGCGAAACATATTTGGATCCAGGAAAAGTTAAAGTTAGAAGTTTTGATCTAATCAAGTAAGTGATTTATCATTTTTGATGTGTCTCTCACTACAGAGCAATTGAGGTAGGACATGAAATAATCGATTGTCCGGGAAGTGCTTTGATAGGATTTCGCACTTTGTTCAAGGAATTTATTGATCAAGCGTAAGTTGACATCTTGTTGCTCTTAATTACAAAACGAAATCACAGGTAGAAATTAATACCATCTCTTTTCATAAATTTTCAAATTTGATGATTTGGATGACTTCCCAAAGATAAGAAAGAAGGGAAATAAGAATAATAAAAAGCTATCGAAAAAGGTAAAATTTTTTTAATTTACTTATGAAGTAATTGACTCTTTTTTACTTTCAGAAAATTTGTTCTTTAATGAACAAAGCTTCATAACTTGTGGGCTAAACTTGAAGATAAATTATATTCCAAAGTCGTTGCCGTAAAGACGAACGATGACGAATTATATTCAGAAAGATTTGGACTATAAATTATTTTGTATTTTTCATCGACGTAAACTACCTCATTTTGATATAATTCTGGTTATAACAATATTTCTTGCTAAAATAATTTTCGATCTGATTCATTAAAAATTCTGAGAACGCCGACTTAGTTAAGTCATCATCACGTGCCTTAATTTTTAAAAATTCAATATAAATCAAGACAATGTGAAGTTGACAATGCCATAAGGCGTTGTTTTTGCAACATGACTGCAGGCATATTTTTCTAGGCAAAAAATCATTTTAGATACGTTAGATAGTTTTGCATAATCGACTGTTTAATATTTATGATCCTTTTATACATTTGCACTTTTATGGCAAAAAAAAAAAAAAAAAATGCATTTGCCCATCAACGCTAGTATATTTGGCGGAGAAAATCCAAAGTCCCTTCTGAAAAGGAAAATATTAAGATCTGGACCTAGTACTTGTATCTAAAGACAAAAAAGTTAGCGTATTTCATAGTTCTAATACCTTCAAATAATATATTTCTTATAGTTGCTTGCCCTCAAAGCATTTTGTAAAAGAAAAATAGTTTTTATTTATTTGTTGATTAAAGAAACTCCTTACAAAGTTTTCATTTTTATAAATATCTACACACTGCGCACTTGCGTTCTATCAAAGCCAACACTATCTATGTCCTTCATAACCGTAAGTCTTTCTAAGAATATTGTACTCTAGCTTTGAAAGTATATTACTGTATTTTGATAAATAAATTTATTATAAATAAAAAGTTATATTTCTATTTGCAAAATAAAATATAAATCCGTGAGGTGTTTTTATTAAATTAAAAATTCAAAGTTGCGTAATAAAATAATATATCATCTTTTAGGAGTGAAAATAAAAAATTCCTGCCATTAATCGAAAATTTCCTTTTTGATAATTGTTTTTTTTAACGACAAACAAAAAAAGGTACAAAGAAATTTTACAATAGAATTGATGAAGCAAATTCTGACATAAAAATAGATGCAAATTATCCTCTCGACAAAAAAAAAAAAAAAAAAAGCGTTTGGAAATACTAGCCTTATTTCAATAAAATCTTTTGGCAGAATACTTTTTCTTTTTAGCAGCCCCCGAGTGCTAACGGCATGATCGACGTAAATGTCACGTGAAAACCATTCCTTGTTTTAATCAAAGACCACCACCGTCTCTTTTTCACTCCTTCTAGGTTTATGATTTCCTACAAAGGTTGCAAAAATAGTGCATAATATCCCTGCTGGTACTAAAACCATATAGGCAACACTCAAAGCATTAACGTAAGCAGATATAACCGGAATTCTCATATCGTCGGGCAAGCTTTGAACTGCAAAAGCGGATTGTCTTACAGCCAGATTGATTTCAGTTGGTAATGAAAGTTTATTCAAATTACGAGCGAGAACGTCTTTGAATGTAGTGCCGATTACTGCGACACCAAATACGGCTCCAACTATTGTGAATGAACATATAAAAAAAATAAAATAAAAAGAAATTATGAGTGTCTTGGATTTCATTTAAAAAAAAAAAAATTCTGAAAAATGATATGCTCACTCGTTCTAAAGAAGGTTAAAAGAGAAGTAACAGACGCGACATCTTTATAATCGACGATTTGTTGTCCACAAAGAATTGTAGTTTGAATAATAACTAAAAAAAAAATAGGTAAAAGTCAGTAAATGATATTTCAAACAAACACACTGAGCAAAGTATATCATCTATCTTGATCTTACTTCCTACTCCTACACCAGTGATAATCATATAACCGATTTGAACACCTCTTCCAGAATGTTCGTTCCATAAAGTAAGTAATCCCGATCCAACTGTGATCAATACGCTACCCATTAGAATTATCGTACGATAAGATGCTATATCTGATCGTGATATGAATTGACCGGTTGATATCGACGCTATTACCACACCAAGAATGT